GAATGGAATGAGACTGTTAATTATAATAATAATAATAATAATAAAGTAGGACAGTCCAAAGTAGACTATAAGGAAACAAAGACCCTGGGAAGTTTTGTTGTTGTGTTTAGTTTGGTGTTTTAGTTTGTTTTGGATTTTTTTTTATTGTTTTATTTTGGTTTGGTTTTGTTTTTTCCTCCTCACCTGGCTATTTATTTGTTTGGTATGAATAGATGTTTTAAATAATATGAACCGGACCTTCAAGAGCCTTAAATAGTTTGTTTCTTGGATAATTTATTGTTATCATGTGAACTGTACTCACAGGGGGGAGAGATTATTTTGTGAGGCCAAGCAACCTGCTCAGAGTCTATTTTTCTACATGTCCCTCATCCTGACTGTCAGAACGCAAACTTCTGTACTGTTCATTCCTCCTTTGCAACGCTCCTGCTTCTCAGCACGTGTAAACTAAGACATGCTTCGTGGGGGTCCACAAATTATATTTTTATACACAGAATTGTAAATTAGATTTTTTGAGAGATCAATACTTAACTGAATTACATTTCATTTTTTGAAATAGTGTAAAATATGAAGATATATTATTTTAATTTAACTCGTTTCCAAGGTAACAGCCATCTCCTGTATTGTCTCCCTGGTTCGATATTTGCTTTGTAAACATCATTAGGGCCACATTCTTGGAAGTCAAGACTGTTACACACACATACTCTCTCTCTTTCTCTCTTTTTTTTCCTTTTGGACAAACTGGAAAAAAAACTTTGTTATTTTTAACTTCAAAGAATTTATTAGAAAATAATATTTTTTAAAAGTGCGTAGTGATGAGCCCACGAGGATGGAAGCTGTAGTTTGTACAGAGAGAAACAAAGGATGTTTTTGCATTAATAAATTGAGAAATAACTGCTGTAAATTTACTAAAATGTATTTTTGAATATTTTGTAATAGTTTAATAGTTTTATAGAAATAAAATGTGCCATGCACAGACTGGTTAGTAAACAGTAACTAAGAATTCATGTTGCAGCCCCTTTTTGGTTTTTTCCTTTTTCCTTTACTTTCCCCCCACCCCCACCCCCACCCTTGGCTTCTTTGTTTGGGAAACCTTGTGCTGGCAGGAGTTTCCAAAATTATATTTAGATGTGTTGCTTATACTGTGAATTCAGATAAAGTAGGTAACCAAAGTAGGTAAACAAACTTGTTTATTCTCATCACTGGAGAAAACCTCAGCTGCTTGTACTTATGTTGTGAAGTTGTTTCTACACTCCCAAAGGTTGGGTGTGCTGTATGTGGGCACTGTGGTGCCCCCACCCCTTAACTTGCAAGGCTGATTAGGTGGATCTGAGCAGATGACCTAGGGGCGGTCATCAGGAACTCTCTCCCTCTGCTCCCATATGTAATCATGAGACAATATTGGCCCTCTGCCTCTGGCTGTCCCTCCCTCACCACAACCGGTGGAGAGCTACCGCTCAGTTTGCCTTGTTGCCCTGGGGTACTCCATGCCACCGCCCTATTCACAAAGGGCCCCTAGAGAAGAAAGCTGGGTGTTGCATCTTCCCAGGGTCTCCCCCCCTCTTTGATCAAAGACACCCTGGAATCCACATGAAAATCTCCCTTTGGAGTTCGTGTGTGTATTTCTCTGCCTGATCTCACATACTCACTGCCAGTCCCCTCTCCCAGAGCCCAGCAGGGCCTGCTAGAGCCCCACAAATACTGGGGCCTAACCTGTTGCTGCCTCAGGCCTCGCTGGTCTCCAGAATCCATCCGAACTGTCTGCCTGGCACCTTGCCTGCAATTCTGTTCCTAGTGTGGCTGGAGGCTCCTTTGGCCCTCATCAGGAGCACAGAGAGTGGGCCAACCGAGTGCTTTGGTTGATCGTGGATATTGCTGTCATGCCTTCTGTGCTTCGGGCCAACGTCCTTTAGCAGCTTGGCTTGGGAAGGGTGGGAAGCTGTGGCACTGGAAGCACAGGCAGCCTGTCTGGAGGCTGTCGCTCTCCAGGGGAGCACGCTTTGAGGGAAAGCTCAAATCCACCTTGGGCCAGGTCTGGAGATGTTGCTTCTGAGGCTGGCCTCAGTGGTGAAAACACTGGTCCCTGAGGGCCGTCCATGTCAAGGATCAGGACTCGTTGGGGCCTTTCGAAGGTGGCTGGCGTCGCTGAGGGGCATTTGCCCCACTCTCTCTGTGTGCTTTGTACGTAAAGAGGAGGCCTTTCTCAGGATCAGGCCCTCCAGGCAGCAACGGTCCCTCACTTGCGTCTGTATGGAAGTCTTGACTTTGCTTTTCTAGATGAGTAGCGTAGCATGTAGAAGGCTGGTGTTTACCATCTCTGTTGGAGTTTGGTGGCTTCTAGGCTCTTCATAGCCATCAATTCTGATTTGTAAGTCTGTAAAAATTAAATCAGAAACACCAGACAAGCCAGTGGGTCTGACAAATGAGCAGGGTGCCTCCTTGGTCTATAATGAGAGAAGTCAGTCACAGAGCAAGCAGAAGGAATGGATGGCAGCACCTGAATTCTCCTTGCCTGAAGGTAGCGCCCTGCCCAGCAGAACCTCTGAGCTTACAGTGCCCCCGGCCCCCATGCAGGCACTTGGGCCTTGGTGGGCAGCATGCCCTCCTGAGCAGACTATTGCTGGAATGCTTTCACTACGTGCTCCCCTGGTCCTTGCTGTCCTTCCCCCACTTTTTTTTTTTAATATTCCTCTACAGCTTTCTATTAAGAACTCTCTCTTTCCATGGGCAATGAAAGGGCTTCAGGAAAGGAAGTCACCTTGCAGAGACTTGAACGGGGGACCCTCACAGCTGCACCCTACTCCAACCTGAAGAAAACCTCACTCTTCCCACTTTGTTCAAGGTTGACGGTGCCTGCCCAGAGTGTGTCAAATGTATGTGTGGTAGTGGCGGCCACCCTCCCTCATAAGTCATGCTAAATGCATCTCTATTCCTGTCAAAAACAAACAAACAAACAAAAACCCCCGTGTATTGGAATGTACTTGAAACTGTTGTCTTTGTGCTCTCTTGTTTGAATAATTAAATAAATTACAGTGACTCTCCGTGATGTCTGTGATGTGGCAGAACTCCTATCCCCCACTGCACAGCTCATTTCCTTCCGTGAGGTGGTGCTAAAGAAAATTGAAAGAAAGTCTGCCCCTGGGAGCCCATGCTGCCAGTCTCTCAACAGATGGGTACCGTTGAGGCGTGGGAATGTCGACGTGTGCAACAGGGCATGTGACCCGTAAGCTTTGACAGAGCCCTGGGGCAGAGGAGGCGGGGTTCTGCTCCAGGGGTTGTTGCCCTCTGCTGTCAGCTTCAGGCCCATGTGGGAAACAGTGGGCAGACGGGCAGAAAGGGCCAGTGAGTTTGCAAGATTTGGCAGAAAGCAACAAAGTGCCTGCCAGCGGGTCAGACAGTAGGGTTGGTCTCAGAAGAACAAAACTTCCATCGGGAGTCAGGATTGTTAGGTGACCTTGGAAACGGTGTCCAACCAACCTATCCCCCCAAAGGAATCATCCAATGAGCCTGGCCTTAGGAAGCCCAGGACCAATGGCCAGCACGGGAGTTCATATCAAATGACAAAGCCCTTGTTCATGAGCCCTGGTTAGGGCCAGGCCCTCCCTCCCTCTGCTGAACACATACATCTTCTAGGACACAGGCCTGTTCTTATGTGGCCCATTTGCGAAGATTGGTTTCTACCTTTTTTTTAATGGTTGGAAAATACAAAGTCTCAAGGAGAATAATATTTCATGACGTGAAAATGATATTAAATGTCAATATTCATAAATAAAGTTTTCTTGGACCAGAGGCATGCCCCTTCATTTATGTTCTGTCTAGGGGTGCTCACTGCTGGACCTGCAGAGCTGCGTTGTTGCAACAGAGACTGCGTGGCCCATAAAACCTACAACTTGCCCTAACTGGCTCTTTGTAGAAAAAGCCTACCAACCTATACTCTGGGATCTTATATTGGAAGCAAGCTTGGCTTTGGGGGCTGGGGAGGGAAAGGGGTGGACCAGAATCCGAAGAAATAGCAGTCGGTTACATCATCACATACAAGACTAATTTTCCATTAGAATTCAAAGGCTCGCTGGCCAGCACTCAATCCCACACCTTACTGAGAACCATAGGGGACTTTAAAAGGTTAACAAGGCCAGGGAGACCTGGCCCGAAGCCATTACCACCCGGTGGTCTAACAGGCAAACTTTAGTGCTAATCAAATGTAAGCTAAACCGCAAAGAACCACTTTTAAAGTGGCAGAGTTACAGCGACAGAACCCTGGGAGGCCAAACAGCAGTGAGAGGAAGCCAGCAGCACAAAGTAAATTCTCCCACTCTGTGGAAATCACCCCGTCATGAGAAAATAGGAAGTCTGGATTTGGAGATAAATTTTTTGGACCTAGCTTGATTTTCTCCAATTAAGGGGGGGAAATACTAGTAGTTCACGTTTTACTATGCAAACCAGCACTGGGCCTTATGACAAGCAGCCATGGAACCTGGATGGGAAGATTACAATGTAATTGACATCTCTGGTTCTCAGGTGGAAGAGGTCGAGGTGGTGGGCATGGGGACAGGAGTAGGGCTGGTTTAATTCTTTCACGAACTGAATATTCTCTGCTTTGACTTTTTTTTATTGAAACCTGTGTTTTCAGTAATGGGAAAACATTTTGAATGAATTGAAATAGGTTTTTCTTAAGGTCACATGCATTTTGATACAATTAATGGGACATATATTGTCATGCTGAGGAGCACTGGTGGCTTCGTAGTTATGTGTTGGGCTGCTAACTGCAAGGGCAGCAGTGCAGAAGCACCAGCTGCTCTGTGGGAGAAAGACGGGTTTTTTCACTCCCATAAAGAGTTACAGTCTCAGAGAGTCAGGGACAGTTCTACACTGCCCTGTAG